AATAGAAATGTAAAAAACAAAACAAAAAAAAAAAAAAACAAAACCAAAAAACAACAAAAATCCCTATCAGTGACCTGTTGTATTGGCTCAAGGTAGGGTAATTGAGGTGAGATTATAACAGAAGACACGCCTGATGCATAGGCTAAAACTAGAGTAATCAAGGTGAGGTGAGTTTATAACAAAAGCCTGATGTATAGGTACTAGTAAGTGGGACAGGTCAATGGAAGATGTTTACCGTTGTAAAATTTGAAAAAACATCATTTAATAATAAGCAATTTCCTTTGCTTTTTGGTGTATGTTCAGAAATCGGTGCTTCACAAAATAACTCTCCCATGAAGTCAACAACAGGATCAGACCTTGCAGTGGTATCATAGTATTTATAACTCATTATAGGCTATCAAACTTGACAGGATGTGGTGTATGAAACAGTGAACTACTCTCCTTTAAATGAAACAAATTTTCAGCTGGGTCAACACTCTGCACACCATTTGCAAAACACAACAATAACACATACTATATGCTCTACCATAAAATATGCCTCAGAGGCTAACCATATACTTGTGACTTTGATGATAAGTAGATCAAAATATTTTTGAGCTTTTTATTAACCTATATAAATAGCATGCCTATATTTGCTCTCCGATAGTTTCACTAAAATTATCATTTGATTTGACAAGACAATCTCTACAATGATCCATTAGACAGTATTTCCTATACAAAAGGCAACAGTTTGTTACAAAGACTATGCAGATGGTAAGACCATTAATTGACCATTAAAGTGTCAAAATAAAGCTTACTGGTTTACCATACAATTTAATGATAGAACCAATGGAAATGGAAGGCCTGGAGTAACAGGTTTACACTGAGGTCATAACTAGAATATGGTGCACGTTTAATGGGAAACGGCTGCATAAACAGACTTAATAATTTTCTGATAATGCTCCACAAGTTAATCTGATTATAAGAAAGGCCTCATTTCCATTAGGTCTAAATTATTTGAAAGTTCTTTTTTCTTTTTTATGCTAAGAAGGTCTGAGGTAAATAGAAATAAATAAATACCTTATTTATAATTTATGTGCTTGTAAAATTAATTTTTTGTCAATAATAAGAGATGAGATCACATTCAAAAGGACAGAAATGTTGTACACACAATAAATTAAGTTGTCTTACGTAAAATCTCGGTGCCGATGTCCAACAAAGTTTGGCAGGATCTTAATCAGAATAGGAACCGTCATTTTTAGATGTGATGGAATATTTTCTCTTTGGTATTCCAGTCCTGTTTTCAACTGTTGAAAACCATTAAACATGGTCTTAAATATTATTATAAAGTGTATTTTTTCAATGTATTTTAATAGGCATCAGCTAATAAGATATATGTTATCATAATCAGACCCAGGGAAACTCCTTCTCATGCCATAGTCTTGAGTCTATTTAGCACATTTCAGGTTTAAAAAAAAATTATTTTAGAGCTTTGAATGTTTTAAGCCACACTGCGCCTACATGCTTAAAAAGGTAGCCAATAATGGAAAACTATTTTAAAAGAACATGAGGCTACCATGAGGCTCTAAACCTACCAAAAATTAAAGCCTTATATTTACTTAAATCCATTTGTCAGTGGACTATGGGCATGGGTAATATAAATATTTTTTTGAGGGTTGCCTGAAAAATTGAATCATTTTAATATTTGAGATACAAAATTATTACTGTATTTATTGGCGTATAACACGCACCATTCGTGCCGCTATGCGGTATGTACTATGGGTCCTTAACATTATATCGGCGTATAACACGCACAAATCATTTGCCCCCTATTTTCAGTGCCAATAAATACGGTACTTATACTTCCTACAGTAGGTCTAGTCAATATCTTATTTATTATTTACTGATACTATTTTAATAGGTATCTTATTTGATGACATGATGTTTCTTATCGTCATCATTAATGTGAGGCATTAGCAGGGTGCACCACACTGATCATTAATTATAATAAGCTATATCAAAAATACATATCCCAAATTATTGGTTTGCAGAGCACTTTTTCTAATCAATTTCTGTGGGGGAGCCCTCAAGCCTAAGTCTTACACGTTTTTAGTATTAAGATGTTTCCTGGAGTGGAGCCCCTTAGAAAGGCTCTGCGGAGCATAGTTGATTTGGGCACCACTTATAAAAATAATAAAGGCCCATGCCATGTGTGGGCAATACAACCCCGCAGCAGTAAGTGTAGGATGTTTACGGCTAAGTCTAAGGGGCCCAAAGAAGTGAATGTGACATGAAAAAGTTGTTAAATTATAAACTTGAAATGACCAAGTCCAAGTCAAAATGCATAAAAACGAAAAGTTGCAGAGAGGACCTCCAAAAAGTAGCAGCATCGGCTCTGTAGAAGCCTACTGACTATTGGTTTCAACTTGATTGAATTTCCACGTAGGGGTTGGAGTAAATTAAAGTTGAGCAAGAGTAGTTTATAATTTATTTTTAAGTTTAATTTTAATTATCATTATCGACTATCCAAGTTTAGTCTAGACTAAAAATAAGCCTGGGGCCTAAGTCTAGATTAGTTTATAAAATAAAAAAGTTAATCTGCGAACAATTACTTAAGTAACTTATAACCTAAGTATCATTCATTATTTATTATTATATAAAATTTAAAAAAAAAATATTCTTTAGTCTGCTGGACATTCAAAAAAAGTAAAAGCCTAAAGGCCTAAACTAAATCTAATTTAAAATTTTTAAAAAATACTATTTAATTAAATATAATTAGGGCCCAGCCTAATAAACAGGTGAAGAATTAAAAGGTATACTAACCAAAAAGCCGAGCAATGGGTTACATTAAATCCAGGACATCACACTGGCTCCTTCTAGCTGACAGGCAGAAATGAACCGAAGCGTGTTATTTGTCTAATATTTACATAGCGTAACAAGTAACAACCGACTGCTACACTTTCAAGTAGGCTAAGTACATACAAGTACGTTTTCGAAATTTAGTCACAGTGTCATCGGAAATGACCCTTGAACCCCAGATTAGTTTTCAGTAGCTATTGCTATGGCTACTTGCTTTCTTTTGGGGACATAATCTCTATATGCGTAATTACTTTCCGATTTGACTTATCAATTTTGATTATCGTCAGGTATATATCATTATCATATTTATGAAGTATTTTGCTGTAATAGAAATACAACAAAATAATAACTATTCAGAGTTGACTATTTATAATGTAAGGGGCCATCCATAAATGGCGCCACACAACTGGAGGGGGCACATTTTTGTGACATATCGAAAAAAAATGCACTTAATGACATTAAATTAAAGACATTTTTTAACATTATTCTTTTATGCAATTATAACTATTTTATTTTGAAACTACAATAACTGAGAGAATCAGTACAGGCATAAAAGGTATGGGACTCTGAAAATGGCCTCTGATCATGGTAGAAGCTGCCACGGAATAGGATAATCAGGATGTAGTGATAATGACAGTCATGAGAATGTATGTCGAGGGGGGAGATCTTGGTAAATGTTCTGGGGCAAAGATCCTTACTTAATAGTTTTGTTGTGCTGCATCCAAAGTTCCCTTTAAGCTGCGTGGCTGCGCGGCCGCGCAGCTATCTCACAGACGCCGCGCAGCAGTTCTGAGTATCCGCGCAGCAAATTTCTATACAACTGTGTGTTTGTGACCTGTAAAATTTTGCACACACTAAATTAATGCTGTAAACCTTTGCACACAGCTGTATGATTTTGCACTCTAACCAAAAAACCTTAGAGGGAACATTGGTTGCATCCCCTCTAAATTTCAAAATATTTCCAGCAACCCCCATCCCTTATTAATTATATTGTAATAAAATTCTAAACTTGAAAATGATTTAGTAATTGTAGTTTTATTTCTCTAATTTACTTTATATAATCAAGAAAAAATTTCCAATACAAGTATGGTGATGCGCAAACAAAATACACAACAAAAACATTTACAAATAAACATATCTGGGTCTTCCTCACCGCAGGGAGTGCTTTTGACCCTGTTTAAGAATCACTATTATAGGGAAATGTGTCCGACACTGGTGCAGCAATTCGATGTCCACGGGAGTTGAATTTTGTTATTAATTATTCCAATTCAACTATATAAGTTAATAATATAAAAGAAGAACATCCTGATCCTCTTCTCTGGTTCTGGTAGTGTTTGTTGCTGCATCCATACACTGGCATCTGTGCAACGGTTGGGCTCTGATCAATCGACCCGACTTCTGTGGGGTGAGGTACGTGCCTGCTGGGATGGCCGTCACCAGTTCCCATGACCACTTTATAAAAGAATATCAGGCGGAGTCCCTCTCGCCTGTCTTTAAGGGAGGGGATGTCAAATCTTTTTAAGAGGCCAGTGGCGAAGCCAGAAGTGGTGGATTTGTAGTCTTATGCGATGAAACGCACCACATTACGTTGAATTCGCTCCATCTTGTCAACGTCTTGCTTAAGGTGAGGGTCCCAGATGATCGCACCATATTCTAATAGTGGACGGACGAGTGCAAGATAGGCATTTCGTTTGCAGGAAGTTGGGCAGTGGTGCCCAATTTTAAAAATTAGAAGGCAGAGGTAATTCTACATTACCTGATATAATTAACATACAAACAAGGAAAAGGCCAAGTTAAAAATCAACATTTAAAAAAAAAAAACGACAATTGTATAGGTATGGCACCTTAAAAGTTTATTTTACATGCACAATGTAGAAAATTAACATTACACTGTAAAATCTTTTAAAAAGTCTTAATGAGAATTTTTAAAAAATTATATAATCTGTAATTAATATTAATATATTATACATGAAGAATAATAATAACAATAAACAAATGTATGTCTTCGCCCGTTTTTTTTGACTCAACAATAATTAAATTTTTTGTTGTTTAAAAAAAAAAAAACTAACTGAAAAACTACAACCAGGGACACATTTATTTGAAATACTTAATTTAATGAACTTAAAAATACTTTTCGACTTAAAAAAAATTTAAATAGTTTTGTGCAATCAATTAAATACATCATTTTGAATTATAGTGGAGAAGTTAATAAACAATAGTATAGAGACTAACATATTAAAATACTGGTTCTATGATATATTAAAAATAATCATCTCAGTCTCAATGATTTTATCCGTCAGCAAGAGGTTGGCAACTTACATGGCATGCCTCAGGAAGAGGTTGGCAACTTACATGGCATGCGGGTCCATTTACAATGGCATGGGCAAGGCAAAAAAAACAACTAATAAAGACTAAATTTAGTGTCTTATAAGGTGGATTTAAAGGTTGTTCCCATGCTGAATGAAGTAGACATCCTCCTTCGGCACCCTATTACCAAAAGGTTGCCAACCCCTACCGTAAGTTGCCCTTAATTACTTTTAGTACTTAAAGCTATTTAAATTACTGTAACAAAAATAATTTCTTCCTAAATTAAAATATTATAAGACATATTCTCTAGTTTAGACTAATCACAATAAAACTTCTTTTCTCTTGATAAATAATTACTAATATTGGAGTTCCATTTATTTATCAAAATACACAACGCATTGTTTACAGAATATTCCATTATTATTTGAAAATGTCTAGACTTTGGGGCAGACAACTACATACCAAATATAACTTAAACAGGTGAGTAATCCAGTATTAGATATTTTTATCACAGATTGCTTTAGAGCTTCTCAAAATTTATTGCATGTCATTTTAGTCATTTGTAAGAGTAATATGAAAATGAACTGTGGTAGTGACTGAGAAGAAGTGTGATTCAGCTAAAATATTTATTATAGTAGGTACAAAGTCACAATTTCAGTAAACTAATAAATGAGTACAAGTTAGTCTAATAAAACAGGTGCGTTTCATTCACTTTCTCATATCATGCCATGTAACAACTAAAAATATGAATAGCATAAATTAAAGTAAAATGTTCTGACTCTCTTTAATATTATACGACAGGTTTTTATTTTCTTCAGAATAATGCAGCCTGTTTGCGATTGTTGATGGTGACATCCTAAATGAACTTCCCATTGCAGAGTCATTCCAGGTTGCCGTAACTTTATTATTTTGAAAACTCTCACAGTCAATACATGATCAATAAACTTGAGCACTGAATAAAGTTTCAGAATATTCTAATAATTTTTTAAACACATATTTTGGAGAAAAAGTTAGTTTATACAGCAGAAGCTTTATAAAATCCATTTCTTGTTCATAAAACCAAAGTTAACACATGTAATGTTAAATTTAAAGGGGTTAATAAGATTGCTAGTTTAAATAAATTATTTTGTGTTCTTTTTGCATCTGACACTTCAGCACTTTTGTTGCTTAAAAACCAACATTTTATATGAAACTTTGGGCACTTAATTTTTAAAAATAAATCTTGACACACCAACATTTAATTTATATACATTAATCCAGTAAGTGCTATTAATTATAATTAAAATCTTTCACTCAAGTGCTTTAGTTATTACTATTTTTATCCAATGGGTGACTTAGGAAGATTATTGTCAGAACTGTCTGCAGCATCATTTGTGTGATCTGGTATAGTGACCTCCTCCAGATTTGATGCTGTCATTGAGCTCAGATTTCCAGACATTTCAGAGTACTCTGTTGTGTTGCCAGTTTTGTCACCAAATACCGCTTGGGACTGTAATTGAAGACGTGACAACAGTTCCTGATCAAAAGTCTGGGCCTGCTGCAAGACGTCAGTGATTTTCTTAGTCTCTTCACATCCACTGCCTTCTCCACTCCTTTGTTTATGATCAGCCCCTGACGTGCTCAAATCAGGTGTTGACATAATGGTTGCCTCCCGTTCTTTAACATAATCACTGTAGCCCGTTATATTGAGACTGGATGTAGCTCCGTCGCTTGTACCAGAAACCTCCCTTTGAGCAGATGTGACTTCCATTGGGTTATCCCTCTTAACCTGGTTCCAAGGTTTAATGGGAGTTAGATCCACAAGAGCTGGCATTTTTGTAGATGACAAATCTTCTTCCTCATCAATCAAATTATCAAAATTCTGCGGGGACATTTCATTAGGGTCTTCTGAAAAATTCAATGTCCGTTTGGCACCCATTCTGGATACTAAAGGTTTGGTTTCTCCAGGAATGTCCCGAAATAGTCCTGTGGAATCTTGATCTTCTGATGTCTTAGAGATGTCCTGCTCATTAACAGCGTCCGTATCCTGTAATCGTTGACCTGTAGCGAGGTTAAATTCTGATCTGTGTGGACCAGCAGTTACCAATGGAGGAAAAGTGTATGGGTCCCTCAGGATGTCAATTTTAACTCCAGGACCGAGTCTGTAGGACTGCAGACCAGAGGAAGTTATTATTGAAGATGCATTCCTCGTGTTGAGGATGGATGCCACAGGGATGACCGGCAGTTTCCTTGCTGGTGTCTTAGATGATGCGGACAAAGGCGTGTCCACCTCTAATATAGTGCTCAACTCATGCGGGAGGCGGTCAGACAAACCTGGACTGGGAAACAAGGAATCTGAGAGGGAATTTGACATTGATTCTATTGTGTGCTCCAAGCCTGACTTGTCAGACATTCCACTGGGTCTTGAAATGTTTGAAGACCTGCCAGCAATAGACTGTGAATCAGAGAAGTGAACTGAATCATCACCTTCAAATCTGGGATTGACTCCTTGCTGTGGTTGACTTGGCTGCCACTGGGGCAATTGTTGTTGCTGTATGAAATAAGGTTGTTGCGGATAGGTTTGCACTTGAGGTGGGCCTGTCAATTTTTGATGCTGTGCATCCAAGGGTTGTAATTTACTGTTGGAAGCTGACATCAGTAGAGAAGCCCAGGTTGGCTGCTGTGTGTTGCTGTAGCTCTGAGTTGCCACAGACGTAGCAGGCTCAGGTGCTCTGAAAGCAGAAGTTGGGACACCTCCAGCATCCGCTGATTTGATTTTATGGTAAGAAATGTCTGCCAGGTAAGAATCTGCAGAGAGATTGCCAGGTGTACTTAAGCTCTGTCTCCCGCTGGTGGCCTCACTCTCTCTACTGTCATCAAGACATTCGCTTGACCTAGATCTGATAGCCCTAAACCCTCTGGAGAAATCTCTTTCCTCACATGGGACAGAAGCCACATCCCAGCTAATCCGCAAATCTGAGCCTCCTCTTGGCTGTGGATTAATCTTTGATCTTGCCCCTTCAAACTTGTCTACAGGAGGGGAGTTATCCTTTTCATCAGTAGTAACACTATTCAAATACTTGACTGCCATCTGCTGCTGTTGCAGTGCCAATTGGCCTGCATTGTACCTCTGCAGTATCATTTCCTTCTGTTTCTGCATCTCCATCAGCTGGGCCTGAATTTCCTGCTGCCTCTGATGGAACTCTCTCTTGTTTGCCTCAGCCCTCTCAACTAAAGCTGCTGAGAAACTGTCAGAACTTGGGGCTCTGATGGGCAGAACTGGACTTCCTCTTTCTTCTTCGCTTGATGTCAGGCGGGAGCTTTCACTAACTTCTTGTGACTGCCTGGAGACTGGGGTGTCATTCCAAGAAATGCAGCTGATGTTTGGGGATTCCCCTAGTTCCTGGAATGACAAAGATTTTCTGATCTTGTCCATTTTATTTTCTTCCACGGTAAAATTTTCACCGCTGTCAGATTTCCCTGGCTCTTTAAAACCAACGCTTGACCTAATTAGCTTGGTCTCAGTGCCAAAATTAGAGTAATCTCTATGACTTGCAACCTCCGAGGGATTAGATCTTCTCCAAGGTTCGGCAATGAATGGTTTTATTGTCTCCCATTGTTTAGGTTGCGGCCCTCCACTGCTTGTCACTTTAACGTCTCCACCATCAGCAGCTAGCTTTAACGTGGAGCCCACTCTCTGGGTACCTATGTTCTGACACGACGATAATTTCAGCTCATTGCGGCGACGCTCTATATCAGCTTGGACATCTGACAACAGTTTCTTACGTTGTGCATGCGTTTCGAGCAACTTGCTCTGATACTCTCTGACCTTCTTAATGGTATCCTCATCCATGGTGGCCAGTCTCTCCATTGCTCCTTGCGAGTAGTCTTTTAACTTTTGTGAGACGTCCCATCCTCCTACGCTGACATCACTCAAGTGCCCCAGAGGCCTATCCTTAGCATTATCATGCTGGTGGCATGTTACTCCATCACTTTGGTATATCCTGCCAACTCCATGATCAGATCTAAATCCAGGGATCCCCTGACTGGCCAGTGAACTTTGCTGTTGGCCAACATATGGAAGTGGCTGAAATCTGAGATTACCACTGTCCTGCCATGCCTTATTGCCCAGAGCCACATTGCCTCCCAAATGTATCTCCCTTCTGGCATGTATTCCTTGACTTGGGATTGACTGACCTGGCCAAAGTGGGGGGACAAAGTGACCACCATCTTCATCTGATACAATTTTGTGTTTTGTTTCTTTAAGAATCCCTGATAATTGTTTCAAGTTTTCACTTTTCCCTTCAAGATACATTTTGGAAGTATTGTTCCTTGGCTGGTCCATTTTCCCTGACATGAGCTGGAACTCTTCAATATCAACCTCCTTTAATGTTGACCCCTCGTCTTCATCAGACACCAACTCCTCGGCAGTGAAGAGGTGGCGGTGAAAACTTGCCTGGGCTAAGAACTGCTCTGACAGTTGTTTCTTCTGACTTCTAAAAATGTTGAAAATGAATTACAAACACAAAATCAGATTTAGTTTTTAAGATATTTTCAAATAAATTTGACAACAAATGAAATGAAAAATTCATTTTAGATATGTTTTGAATATTTCACGTTATTGATTAATATTATTAAAAAATTAGCCATTATTTTTAAAAAGATAGAAGCCACCTTAAGATTTTTTTTAAACTGAGAAGTTGAGAGATGAACACGTTAGATTGAAATAGCTATTTTGGTATAAAAAATACGTAATTTAAACATTTTTGATACAAAACTTATTTTTAATAAACGAAGGAAACTTCATGTTAAAATATATCTATCTTGATTTTGAATATAAAACCCTTTTAATCTTTTTAAAAACATACTTAACTTCCATTTAATATTACTGGTATAAACAAGTAGCACTTGCATAAATCAAAATAAAAAAACACTTACTCTATCAACTCTATCCTCTTGCGTAAATCTTCAATCATTTTATCTTTGTGGGCTATTCCCACAGTTTCATTTCTTGCCATGGCTGCCTGATCTGTTTTTGGTTGGGAGCCAAACTCATGTTCCCCTGAAGAGCCTATTTAACAGAAATAGTCAAGAGACAATTTGAACAATATTTTTAAAGTGTAATTAAGATGTTAAAAAAATGCAATGTCAGCTCTTTAAGGCCTTTTAATTTAATAGTCAGTGATACATAAGAAAATCATTCATCTTATCCATGCTACAATACCATGAAAAAAACCAAAAAAAAAATTTTTAAAAAAAAAAAAAAAAAAAACTCAACTGATTAAACTCTAAATCTTGTTATGTAGATAGAGACAAATACTGGACAAATTGATCTATGTATTTTGTCAACACTGCATTAAATAAATAATGCTTACATGGATTACAATACACTCTAACTCAGTGGTTCTCAAAGTGGGCCATACTGTCCCCAGTCACCAGACACCATGGGCTTAGGAAGAGGGGGCAAAAGGGGCAGTCCCCCTGCCTGACTGTTATTTTGGGTTTCATATACTTTAGGTACTTCATTTCTAATTTGTATTATGTATGCACAGCGTTTTTTTTTTAAATTAGGGGTGGTAAAATCAAGGGCCGCCCTGGGTGTAATAAATTCTAGCTTCACCGACGCTACATGCAGCAATAAAAAACAACTTAAGTTAGCTTATTTGGGTGACATAAAAATATCATTGTTTTCAATGCCAGTTTTCAAACAAGAAAATGTTAAGGTAATATCTTTCCAGAGTTGGTCTCCATCCAGCCAACAGTTGGATTCTAAGTTTTAACAAAAAAGTTTTCTTCAATTTCTGTGTTTATGAAGAAGGTTTATAGGTATTAATTCATCAGTGAAAAAACAGTCATTTTTTTAAAAGGAATAAAATATAGAGAGCACATGGTGCAACTGTGTATAAGTTTAAATTGCATTGACAACTGGATGAGTTAACTTACCCCACTGTCTGAATCAATGACTGGTTGCTACTTTGGTTTTTATATTTATTATTTAAAATGTAGTTCGTAACTTTACCATTCATTGTGTTATTCATTCAGTGGCTAATTAAATAAAATTCACGGGCTATCAAAAGCCAAATATGTGAGTCACTTTTAGAAACTGCTTCACACTGGATACTTTTTGAAAGATGTCATTAAATAATTGCTTCTCTAAGTGCTGAATCCCTGAGATTCAGACACCCCACTTTGCTATTGTCAGAGAAATTTGCACATTTTTATCAGATAAATTTATAGTGGCTGGCAGATTAGGTCAAACTTATTAAAACCAAATAAATAATCTGTACCTTTTGTATCAAACTTAACTCTGCTCATGAGAGGTAGTGATAAACTTTAAGCCTGTCTGAGCTAGAAGAGAAAGAGTTACCAACTGATAATCTCCACATATCTTCATTATTTTAATATTTTAGATATAAATTGAGCAAGTTTTCTCTGCTTAAGTTTTAAAGGTGATCATGAAGGTCCTTGTAATATTTCTAATATCCTATATTTTCTGGAATGTGGTTGTAGTTTGGTTATAAGCTTTAATCCAAACAGAGGAAATATAATAGTCTTTTGATCATGTTGATTTAAGAGTCTTGTTAAGTTACATTATGCCAGACTGAAAAAAGTATCACTTTACTAAGCTCAACCAAAGGATTAACGATATTTTAGCAGTGTAGAAGCAAGTTAAAGAATTTTTACTAACTACTATCCTAGGTAATAGAAATAGGAATTTCGGGGAAACACAGGAGGGGATGCTAGGGTTGAGTATATGGCTCCAAAGCTGCAGTGGCAGAAAAAAGTTTCAGAACCACTGCTGTAACGATTAGCTCTTTTTCTTTCAATAGTATACAAAAGATTTCAGGTCTCTCACCGTAACCATCTGCTTCTTTCTCTAGAATCAGTTTTTCTACTTTGTTCTCTGCCAGAAGACTGTCCTTGTTGTCTGTTTGTAAATCTTGTTTGCTGACATCAAGCGTGTCCATATGTTCACCCGCCTCTGTTTCCGCTTTGTTATCTGGACTTTCTTTTGTAGTGTCTCTTTGTTCCTTGATTCTATTCAGGAGCTCTCGTAACACTGTGGCTGTGAGAAAACAAGAACTGATTCAGTAAACAACCTGAAACTGTTCATTAAAATAGTTTCTAATCTGGAAATTTTATAATTGGACATGAACAAATTAATTAGCTAAAAGCTGCCACAGAAGTATTGACCATGCTCAAAATAAATGCCTGCCAAGTGAGTATAAAAAAAATTGCAGAAGTGTATTTAAGATATTTATGGAAACGTGTCATTCTTTACTTTTTAAAATAATTTGTCTAACATGCAAAAAATTTCAAAATTTTCTTTTTTCCAAACTTCCATAAGAAAAATAATTCCAGTGTCATTTTTAATTTTGTCTGTCTCATAAATCTTATTTAACATCAAATAATCTGATAATTTAATATGCTTAACTAATTAACAATGATTAGTGGATATTATATCGAAAAAATACATTATTTTGACCCTTGGGTCCAATGTTGAAAATGTATTAATTGACGTTAAAGAATATTTTGTAGGGATATAACAAAGTTAAGACCATTGAAATTTAATTAGAGCATTACATTACCAGGTTTTTTCATCTGAGTTGGATTAGTTGGGCGTGATACATTTGTGAGGTCACGAAGTGCTGGGTTTATCTGGGACAGAGGAATGGATATGTCAGGGGTGGCATCTAGTTCAGGAATGTAAGAATCTGTTGAATCTTGAATCGTCGGGTAGTCGGACACATCAGAACCACGCAGATCTTCGGCTGCATCAACTTCTAATATAAAGACAAACAAATAGAAACTTGACAAATGTAAATTTTCCGCATGTCTCATACATGTAATGGTCATAAATGAAATCAATGATAGCTAGAACTTGATAAGATGGTATATTGTATAACATATTGACTCCAAACTGAGACATTTTACATTTTGAAAACAAACATTATAAACTCAGACTATTTGAACTCACTGCAATGTTGTATATAAAGTTCATCAAATTTCCTCTCCATCTCAATCTGCTTCTCTTTCCTCTCTTCAAGACATTTCTCTGGTGGGATGAAGACTTGTTTCTAGTGGAGGTAAACTTATTCTTAAGCCCAAGTCAAGTAATAATGAATCCTTAGTTTAAAAAATGTCTATCTACCACTGTGAGGCTTATTGAATTTAACACAGTACTTTTAAAAGTTCTGACTGTCACTGATATACATCAAGGCACAAGGTACCCAAACCTGGGTTACAGTAAATTTGTATGAAAAAATAAAAACCAACACAAATAAATTTTATCAGAAGTTTACATTGCTCCCTCGCATTTTCACTAAAAATTTGTTTAAAATTAATCCCTGTTTAACAAATTAATTTCTAACAAACTTCTGTCAAACAATTTTCCTTCAAACAATTTTTCTGATGTGCAATAACTCTCCTATCAAGAGGGGAGACTTTAATAAATGAATAAATGGGTCGTAGACAACACACACCAGCCAGATCAAGAGAAAGAAAGTTGCAGTGACACGTTCTTGCAACATTTTTCATTAAATGTTACTTAAAAAAACTACTCACAGGCAGGTCAGACACAATGGCTTGTCTTCGTCTTCTGTCTTTCTTCTGTAGCAGACTCAAATCTTTCATCATGTCACCAAGATCCTGAAGCCAGAAAACCAATCAGTAGCAGGAAGTTTAAATAAAACTCTTAATTAAATCACTTGTTTACATGATATTTTAGTTATTCAATGAATTTCACGTTTCAATCAAAACATTACTTTCTATCCCTGTAATTTAAAAAAAAAACTAGTCCTATCATCTCAATGGTTTCATTTCTTTTCAACTAATAGCGTCATCTCCTTATAACTTTTTTTTGTTAAAAACATTAAACATCATTTAAAAAGCTCTTGTGAGCAGCAATAAAGTAGAATTCATCTTACATTCTTCAACATTTCTTTTTGCAGTGCCTCGTTACCACGGATACGGGCTCGTTCAATCTGTTCATGTCTTGACCGTTTTGTCTCAACCAGGTCCTGTCTCAGCTTCAAGTCTGTCTCTTCTCCTTGTGTCTTGGCATCATAGAGGTGCTGGATGCAAGAAGATAAAAAAAAATTTTCTCAACAAATAAAAGATAATGAGATAAATACTTCTGGGGATTAATTTTTGTTATTTTAGTTATCCTGAAGACTCTTATCACCAGGTAGTTACATTTCATGGTCAAGGCTATGTAAGGTTTGTTGCTACCTTAAGTTTATTATTGAGAGGAGTGTAACAACTGATGGGACTGAGCTTAAATTGTGATTCTTTTGGCCTTTTGATCCCACTTAAAAAAAATCCCTGCACATTTTCTTATAAAGTTTATAACTTTTTTTAAAGCAGCCTCAGCTTGCTATAGACAAGAAAAGCTGTCAGTTATAAAGCAGCCAGTTATAAAACATTTGCATTAACATATCATTGGGGTAATTATATATCTTAAGTCAAATTTCAATCAAGGTGACATCAATCAAACACGTTTTGTCAACTAAACATTCTGTCTTACCTGCTCTTCAGCTCCAGCTCGGACAACTTGATAGTCAGGGATGTGGTAGTGAGTGGTGGCAAAAGCCTTCATGTCAGTCATTGGGATGGCCTTCCCTAGATGACAAACATATAGTTTAATTGGGATAGTGTTTTCTAGACAGATGATGGATGTAATATTTAAAGAATTTAAATGTTGCCATGTTCACGAATCTGTTAACAGCATCTAATGAAGACAAAGGACCTAATAAATACTTATAGAAGACAAAGAACCTAATAATCAGACAAATAGCACAGTAAAGCTATAAAATACGCAAGAGTACAGAGTACCGATCCAACACTGCAAAGTAGTTGGAATTAATGTGATTCTGAGTTGTCCTGATACAGTATAAGTTTCAGTAAAAAATGACAAACATAGATTTAAACTACTGTTGATGTCAGAATCCTAGAGTTGATAAATGTCTGTCTATTCAGGAAGAGATCAACTTACTCTTTATCCTCTCCAGCTCCACAGAGACATCAGGCGGAGGGGCTGGAAGGGAGGCCACTTGTGCTGCCCTCTCTTTCTCTACTTCCAGAGCTGCTTTCCTAAAAAAATATATGTTTTATTCATATTATTATGCCAGGGAAGAAAACCTACTCAAAATTTGACAACAACTTTGGTTTATCAATTTTTAAAACTTGAGTCACACATAAACTGTTGACTAACATATTTGAGTTTTTGTATAATTACTAGTTATAATCTGCCAAACAATGGAGGAGGCAATGTGTGAACTTTTGATATTATAAAATTACTTCACAAAACATGCAGTCAAGTAACACACTTGATAAGAATACCAATTAGTTTGAACTCATTCTCCCCCTCCCCTCCCCCAGGTAAGCCCCTGCACATTTTTTTCAGGCCCCTGAACTATATTAATATTCTAATGTCCCACCCCTATTGTACAACAGATTTATAACATCATATTTGAATTGAGACTATTTATATCAAACAAAAGAAAAAATCTTACACACCAAACCCACTTCTGTTTTTTAAGAATCTCATCAATTGCAGTTATTGGGAATTTTATTTTTTGTGTGTTATTCAAGTTTATTTCATACTTAAAGCATTATTTAAGGTAAAGCTATATAAGACCCCTTATTATATTATATTATTATATTATAATAATTATATGTATTTATTACTTTAGATTAGATGAATAACTTAGAGATGCCATCTTACTTATTTAGTTTGGTAAAAATGACCAGCATACAATGTTACAATAATAATTTTTGTTCATTGCAGTTGAAAACAGTTGATCTAAGTTTGTCAGAGATGAAATAATAATTTCAGTCTTGACTTATTAAACTGTTTCTTGTTTGATTAACAGCATACATTTTGAACATTTTTGAAACAAAAGTTACCTGGCTGAGATGTGCTTGTTCTTCTTATATTCCTCCTCATTGTCTTGCCTTTTTTTCAGCTCCATGGCTTGCTTGTACCTCTCAAGGGCAGCTAACTCATCCTCTTTCAGCTGATGTAATCTTTTAGTTCTATTTTCCCCATCTCCCTGGTCAAATAGAAGGAAAAGAAGTAAGGAATATTTCATGCTGTGAGATTATAGAGGAAAATATCACCTTTCTGGCACAAAGATTAGCAGTTGTAGAATTCCTATATTAATCAAATAATTGGTGTTTTCTTTTTTTACTTGCCTTTATAAAACTAGAATATATTCTTATAATGTGAGTAAATCATGTATGCTTATTTATTAGATAGCAAGAGGCAGTCCAAAGAGAATTTTAAAAATTAAAAGCTGACAGTTCAACTTTTATTAAAATTGACAGAGATAGACCCCCCCATGAAAATGCTGGTTGATGATAACTTGCCATGCCCAACACAGAAAATTGTGGCCCAAGTGGATTTGATTAAATGTTGTGAGCCATCAGAGAAGAAAATTAAAAGTTCATCTAATTTTGGAATCGTTTGGTTACATTGGCAGTAAAAATAAGCCTACATTATACTAATGATATTTAAAAAATAAAATTATTTAATTCTTTTAATACAAAAATTTTTTGTTCAAAACCAATAACTGAAAATCTAATTATCTTATGAGCATAGCTTAACAACCCTATGTGACATCTGAAATGTCATTTTTTATTACGTCCATTTTTCTGTTTGATACAAAATTTACTGTAATGCTAGCCATGAGAAGTGCATTGGATTAAGCTCATAACTAAAGAGCTTGAAAACTGACACTGGGGTCACGATTTAGTGATGATATTCGATATATATTACAAATTTGTGATATCAACATACACATTAAGAAATATCTAATTCTTACATGCAAATGAGCTTCCCTGTGACCTTCACCTATGGCCCTCAGAGTGTTATCATACTTTTGTCCAAGCTTTCTAATTTGCTCCTCCTTTTCAGCCTCAAGTTTTTCCTAAATTGAGAGTAATAAATTAGGTATGAGTCATGAACGCAATATTAATTTCATATGTAATTTTAAAAAAAAAATATCTGGGTTTTCAATTATAAAGATGACTTTTAAAAATGATAACATTAGAAATTTACTAACTCATGATGATAGTGTAATAAAGCAGTAGTTTCCAGTTTTGTTTATTAAGACATAAATTACATTACAGACTATTTTTTGTGAGGTGGAAAAGTGACTAATGAAAAACACCACACAAAATCCATTTGGTTCCTGGATAAAAAAAACACAACTTTTTAAATGCAAAAGAAAAAAAGTGGCAATTAGGATTGTTTCAAAACGATTCCTTTAACATTTATTTCCACTAATAATGTTAAATATGATTTCTAAATGAAATATTGAAACCTGACCTTGATTTCAGATGCCAGGTTACTGAGCAACTTTACTTTGGCCCTGCGGACATCATTTCTAATGGTTGTGGCATTTGCTTTTGCTTGCTCCCTCACCTAAAGATGTAAGTCAAAAGAATTAATGTAACCATTGATTAAAATATATGGAATTTAAATTATAAAAAAATGATGATACAAGTTTAGTATTTCTCTAATGACATGTAGCTTTAAGATTTTTTTAAAAAAATTGACAGATTGCACATTGAGTATTTGAATATTACTTTATTTTGACAAACCATTACCAAGCAATAAACTGACAAAAATGCAGCTAGAACTAAAATTAAATATGTAAGAACATAGCTAGATAAATTATTTTAATGCCTTTTTATTATAAACCAGCAGTGTTGAAATTTTTAAATAATGTCAGATTATCCAATAGAAATGGTCACATATTCAGCAGACTGGTAGCTGATCACCACCCATAAGTCATGTTGCCCTAATAAATGAAAGCCATAGCACAACATTTATTTCAATAACATGTTTACTAAAATTAATGGTCAGTCATTTTTAAATGCATGTCTTTCCACATGATCATGAAATATTTCATAAGTTAAGATATCATTAACCACTTGAATTATAAAAAAAAACTGAATGTGTGAAATATTATACCTGTAGAATGCGCAGTTTTCTTCTTCTCTCTCTCTCTTCTTTTACAAGATGTTCAATCTCATTGGGGCTCAGGCGATATTTTGGTCCTCTCATCTTGAAAAATTAATGTTCCACACTGCAGAGTATAATGAGTAATAAAGTTTTTAAAAAATAAGAACATGTGACTTAAAAACTAGAATAAAAAAGTATTAAATGTTTACTTTAAAATTATATTAAAGTTGGAACCAATAAATGAATTGGGTTTTGGTACCCAGAGATTTTCATTTTGGGCTTTCAAATATTTATCATTCACATGAAATTTCTTTTTTAAATGACAAATATGGCAAAACTTTTATACCATGGAATGGTGCACTGTTCCCTATGTGCCACAGGTTTTGTTTAGGGTGCATCACTATCTGCCTGTGACGATGTGAGGCAGGACTTTGTAAAATTCTTTGACTGTAAATCCGCCCTTGGAAACCCTTGTAAAATATTACCATTCCCCCCCCCTCTGTTTCGCCATGCAGTCGCATAGCACGAGTGAGTTCCCTTGGTGTTATCGCGTTTCCACATCAGTTCACTCACCCCAAAAAGCGTGGAACTTGTGTTCAACCCCTCTCACCGATGAACCTTGAGAAATTAATACCATACAGCCCCTCATTTTTGCCCTGGAGACAGCAAAGCAGAGTATCCTCCCTTGTTGTTATTGCATTTATGCATCAGAAAACTAAAACTCACACTGAAGCATGAATTTGGATTTCTCACAGCACCCGATAATTTTTTAGGGTAGAAGGTCAAACCCGCAACATCGAAAGTGATTATCATTGGATGGGAAAACATACAACATTTAAATCACCCAATTGAATCATTATCCAACTCGAATAAATAGCCAGAACAAGCAAGAATATTTCTTTTATGATCATTATCACTTGACTGTGAGCGCTGAAGATAACTTCACTAGAGACTTCAGTAGCGTGATCTATAACTGCAACCTAGGATACTAGCAAGTATATGTCTTTTAAGATCTGATCACTTAAACGTGGACGCTGGAAGTATCTAGACTTAGAACTTCATTAGCGTGATCATTAACTGCAACTGCTACCTAAGAGTACTAGTAAGTACATAACCATGATTTTGATATTATGGTATTGCACTTGTATTATTCATACACTTTGTAGCAATTATTCTATCATGTTTGATCATATCCTAATAATGCCTATATTACATTATAATGATATTATGCATTCTATTATTGCTTTTGCCACGGGCTACGACATGCCGACATCCCATCATGGGGATGGTAGGTTGTTGTTACAAATCGCCCATGTCTCTTTTAATGAGAAGACAATATGTATACTATGTACCTGTAAATTTAATGATTGATAATTATTCTACGTCGTGTACTTCATTTAGTAAAATGTTTGCTTGGTCCAACCTTGTCGCGAAACAACATATGCTTACCCGACAATGACAAGACTTATATTCTATTCACAAATTGGATGTATATATTCAAGCTATGTCACCTTCCATTCATCAATCTGAATTTGTTGCTATTGGAACGGGACTTATCAGCTTACGACTATTCGTTTGGATATTTATCAATTTTTGTATCATTTGCCTTTAGCCTGGTTTCTATTACTTGACCGATGCACCTTGAAGCTGGAACTAGGGGATTGATTTACATCCTACACCAAACTACCTGACAGCTACTAGAAGGACTTCGAGATCTAGGGACTCTCACTACCACAATTTATCGCTGGAGAGTCATCTGCCCCATCGCAGAGATCCAGCGGAATCTACACCCGGAACTCTGACTTCGCTACGCTTAGAACAGCTCCGAAGATCGGAACAAGGACAAGCTTCTAGAACAGAAGGAGTTCCCACACTGTATGATCCGCTGAGATCATCACTGGAACTAAAAAGGCTAACTCAACAAAGATTGAGTATAGAACCTTGAGCAATATAGCATTAATAATGATGATACCGCCAGTATGTTAGGGACACTAGCATTGCATTGATATACTTTCTAATTGGATGACTTCCATTTGATGTATTTATATTAATCACCAAGAGTGTATTACGGAGGAATTTGTAAATATTATTCAATAAATACTTATAGTTATTTTCTCCTTTAACAAAGACTTTGATTCAGTCTATATGTATATAGATAGGTTGTTATGTCTGTGTGGTAATTTGGCTTAAATAATGAATCCCTAGACAGGGTGTCAAGAGGAGATCTCATATGAGAGATACCCCTCACAAATAAGTCAAAAGTCAGATCACCACACTGCCCAACAATGCCTGACAAAAAGTTATATATGGACAACTTGACAAACTGAAAATGTTCCTTTGTTGGATATTTAAGCTAAATACTTCACTAAGCGGAATGCGCGATTGATTTTTTGGATGAGGGGAACAGACCATAAGCCGGTGACCGGTCAATGTCGGAAGGACAAGAGGTCATATGGTGATCTAGTTTCCTTTATCTATATCAGAGAAAGACAATGGAATCATTGTTGCCCATTTTGTACACATAAAGAGAGCGATCATTATGATTAAACTTTTTCATTGGACTATTATTGCTTGTAGCAGATATCTTGGCTGTTTCAGATTTAGCGGAAAAGGTTGACTTTGTTAAGGTTAGGCATAGGGATTGATTTAGGGTTCGGGTTAGGCTTAGGGATAGATTTAGGGTTCAGGTTAGGCATAGGGATCGATTTAAGACGTAAAAGTGCGCGCATGGAAATAAACGCGGGCCGCTTTCTCTGAATTTACCAATATCTTTCATTGAGAAAATAGGTGAGTCTATTAGCACTATATTTTTGAAACCATTATAATAATACAATTAACTCTTTTTGTTTCATATATGAGAACCCCTTAACTAACTCAAACAAGAAACATCATGACATTTAGATAGGCCCCTAGGTCTTAAATTGTATAGACCGGGTACAGTTTGATACATTTATTGATTTAGCAAAATGAAACGGAAATTATAGCCATTATTTGTAATTTTATTATTATGAATAAGAAGTATTTAAAATCTTTATCTATTCAATCATTGTCATTGTTTTCAATAGCCATTTAGTTAATGTATATTATTTTTAAAAATTTAATTTCATGACTGAAAACAAATTTGTTAATATGTTATGAAATTTCATTATTAATTTTTTAAATAATAAAATGTATATTCATGATTACTATTATAACCATGTCAATGTCAAAACTAAGTCAACTTTTGTTATTTAAATCTATGTTGTAATTGTAATAATTAACCTACTTAACTGACTGGGAATTATATTTTTGGGAATTTAATGGATAAATAATGTCCTTAATGATAATGATATACAATAAATTTTGTATAATTAATGAACATTGAATAGTAGGCTCAGCAGCTGTTAAACGTCATCATCAATTTTTACTTTATTAAGTTTCATAATTTTATTAACCCTTGACTTCTAAATAACCTGTCTCTTTCATGTCTTGCCTTTTAACTTTAATGCTTTAGTCCAACGCTGTTATATTTCAATATTCAGGCTTAGTCCAGTAATTATTTGTGATCGTTGAATAACTTTAATTTTAAAATAACAGTTATAATAACAGCTAAGGCAAGGCAAGTCTGTTAGTTTGTATAGGAACATTTTTAAAAACTGAGAAGTGTTTTAAACTAAGCCCTGGCATTTTCTTTCTTTTAAATATCTGGCAATGTCACCACTATTTTTTGGAGGAGCTGTGAAGAGTTGTGCTTCTAGTACTACTCACGATTTCATAATACCTGTTTTTCAGCATTTAAAGTTTAAGGCGATACTGAAGTGTCTATTATAGTATAAGTTACTGTAAGTAGGTAAGTTCAGTATGTGGCCAGAGAAGGCCTAATTTCAGAATCAAACAGAGAGAAGCAACACTACACACATTCAGTTCACATCATCATCATATTGTGGTTACTAGTGGATCGGCAGCTAGCATCGGCATCAGCATAACTTTGTGATTGTGTTTGGACTGGTACTTGTACTTACTTACACTTACTATCATCATCATTCATTTGGCCTACTGTAGTAAATAAATACTAATACTAATACTACTAATAACTAGTTTTAGTAATGTAACCTTGTACTGTATTTAGTAGTAGTAAAAAAAATCATTTTTAGATATTTTAATTCTAGTTTTGACTTGATAATTTAGTTTGATTTATTATGAAAATTAAAAATATTAATATAATTAAAATAAATTATAATAAATGAAAATGGAATACGTTGTATTCATAGTTTACATCTTGTGCCGACACTACTTTCATACCTGTTATAACATGAGGTTGTTATTTATCATCAACCCATTAAATATTATTTTGTAGTTAATCCTCTAGTCTACACAGACAGCAATTTTGTGTTTGTTTTGCGAACATGTCTGGGCAGATTTTTCGAACTCCTAGTTAGCGGCGTAGTGAAAATTAACATTCGCAAAATTAACTGATGACGAGAATAATTATGAAATTTAATTTCCTTAAATAATAAAGGAATTTATTTTATTTTATTAATTGCCTGCTAGTTAATACGAATGACAGAGGGAGACATTTAAAGAAAGAGAGAGAGAGAGAGAGAGAGAGAGAGAGAGAGAGAGAGAGAGAGAGAGAGAGAGCGAGAGAGAGAGAGAGAGAGTGGGGGGTGTGCTACTGTTAATTTTGTTGCCTGCTAGTTAATACGAATGACAGAGGGAGACATTTAAAGAAAGAGAGAGAGAGAGAGAGAGAGAGAGAGAGAGAGAGAGAGAGAGAGAGAGAGAGAGCGAGAGCGAGAGCGAGTGAGTGGTGGGTGTGCTACTGTTAATTTTATGAGTGGGTGTGTGTCTTGTTTGTGGCGGGGAAGGAAGAGGGCTAAAAATCCTACTTTATGGACGGCCCCTAAAAAAGGCAGTCTAAAAAGGCTAGCATGGGAAAGGGGGTGGGGCGCGTAAATAAAAAAGAACCAAATGGAAGGCCAACTATAATCACACGTCAATCGCGAAGGTGTCATTATGAAACTACAGTCAACTCTTCTCTTCAATATCGTCCCTCGAAGACGGACCTTTTCCGCGATGACACAACAATATATACGGTCTCCAATTTGATAACAAAGCGATAAAGCACAGATACAAGTATATTAATCCGATAATCGATATTTATTTAATCATCAAAATTGTTGTAATTTTATTTAATTTAATAAATCGAATCTACTGACACCTCTTTCATCTTTTTCTATAAATAATTTCATACAATGTACAAGCAAACATACACTCACCCGTCACCCTTATTGCCCTTATCTTAAAAGTACATCACACTTTAAAAAAAAATATAATAAAAATTTGATTTAAGAATAAACGACTGATTAAAAATTCAATCTAAAAAAATTAATATTAAAAATTAAAGCTACTATTTGATTTGATATCTTCTGCCAGAATACATCCAGCGTAACTGAAAGTTAAATATCATTTTGGACACCAGGTTTTATATGTAGGCCTATGATGTTACAAAATACTTAAATGCGTGACGTCACATATGATCTAACCCCCGTTTCCCGTGTCACAAACTGTCTAACTTTCTTTGACACCCCCCACTCCCCTGTTTCAAGAGTGTTAACGTACTTTATGGTCGAACCCTTAATCGCATTTCCCCTGTCAAAACTGTCACCAGATTCTGATTTCAGCTGTGCTCCCTCTTTCCCTTTTCTATTTCTTCTATATTTTGAGGGCCCATGATCTATGTATTGATCATTCTGGCTCCTATGTTTCAGATGCGTTCTTTTGCTGCCCTCTCGGATACTCAGCTAAGTGCTATTTTTTAAAATTTAATTCTTTTGTTTCTGTTGTTTTTTGGTTGATGAAGGCTTCCTGCCAAAACATTTGTTGTTTTGTTGCATTCCCCTTTTCAGGTTTAACCATACTTTGTCTTACTCATTTTATGAATTCAGTAAGCCGTAAATATATTATTTTACTTGGACCTTGGATAAAAATAGACCCGGCCTTACTATAATTTGTATTGATTTTTCAAAATCAAATATAATTTTATGCCATAACTAGGAAAAACTACACCAGAGCAAACCCTGAATTTATTTGCCTTTTTCCCCAAACGTATATAGAAATACATATATATTTCATTGAATTAATACCCATGGTGGACGGTCCACTTCCTGGCCTGCCCCTTAACATTCATAGACTTTTCCCCCCACCACACCCATTTTGTTTCTCAGAAAATCCAGAAAATATCACTGCATGTTTATACAAACAAATACTTTTATTTTTATCATTACAGTTTTATTATCAATAAATACATTTGATTTACCGGTCAAGTTTGCAAAAAATAATGTGTACATAAAATAACAAAATAATTTATAAATATAAATAACAGAATTTTCACGTTTTACAAAATTTCATCAATTAATCATATTTTGACTTTGATGCCACTAACTTTTAGGAAAATTTCCTTTGTTACATGTCAATGTAATTATTTGGCAATATGTGAACAAAATATTCATCACAAAAATAATAAATGAAAATAATTTTTGAAAACCTAATGGAAGATAACCCGAACCCTAAACCAATTTTATAAAGCAGCATATATGTTCCTAAGAAAAATGTGTCAAAATAGTAAGCTTTCAACTATAAGAAGTGCATAATATACTACAAATTATATCCCTCTCAAAATATGATCTTGGGATGCACAACTAATTTTAATCCCAAATATGTTTTGGAGTTTCAAGAACTTTTAGAGGTAATTGAGGAATGATCATGTTTTAATTTCAATTTAGAACCACTTGAAAAAGAAACATTGAAAAAGTAGTGAAACACAATCATAATTCATGTTAAGCTTTGCATTTTATCTTACTTTTCTATTCAGCAAAAAGTTCATAAGTTGTTTGTAGCATGTTAATGGATTCTTGTTGTTAACTCAGAAATAAATATTTTTCTCCGAACCTGTCAATTTTTGTTTGTGCAAATCTGATATGTTTGTGGACTTATTGTATGTTGTACCAGAATTCGGGGAAATACTTCAAAATTATAAAATTAAGAACATAAAAGGAAATGAGTGCTTCAGGCCACATGTCACTGTTTGTTTAGGAGATTAAAAATGGAAACATTTATAAAATATTTTTTTAATATTGAAAAAATTATGACATACAAATAAAAATATAAAATATTATGTGGTAAAAAAAGAACATTGAAAAGTCATTCTTCAATTTTAAAATCAAATGTGAATTTTATCCTCATGGACTAATGTGAAATAACATTAAAACTAAATAAAAATGCAGGATATGGTTTCATCAACAAATATTTGCACATGAAATTAAAAAAAATTGTTTAATAAGATCTTGAGGATGGACAATTTAACTCCACTATAAAGTCTTGAGAAAACATTTAGTCCAACTGAAAAAGAGCATGACACATACAACTTTGCAACGCGCTTAAAGCAGATAGGGAGAACTTGGAGAATGTGGAGTAAGCTGGAAAGTTTCATGAAAATATATTTTGTGACTCACTTATGCTCCAAGAAAATAATATGCTGCCTATACATAGCCTTTAGCTGTGGAAAAAAAATTACACACAAACTATTTTTAAATTAAATCCAAAAAGCGATTGCTGCAGTGTCAAAATTAAAAAAACAAAAATGACTAAATAAACTGTAAAAGGTAATTATAAAACTAAACATGCCATGTGATTTAATGATGATTTTTTTCAATGTTAGCTTTTTAAGTGTTACACAACTTAAGAAATAAATTAAATCTATAGACAGAAAATAGAGAGATTTAACTATTTAATTTTTGGTATTTGCTTGGTAACTTAAAGTTAAAACCTTACTGTGCTGTGTCCTGTCAGAATAAGTATAATGCTTGGTTGTGGGGAATTCCAATGGATTATTAGTTTTCAAATGAATAGATGGTGATGTAGCCACTAATGTGAAACTCTGTTACTGAGATTAGTATTAATACAATGGCTATAGATAAAAAGTTATTTAAAAAAAATTTGAATTTCCGATTTTAAACACATTAAATTACTTTTTTTAAAAATACGATAGTTTCCTTAATCATTAAAATATCTTTCACCATATCACCACTGCCTGTAATGTTTTTTTTGTTTGAGTCTGAATAAAACCCTCAAATATCTGGCTCATTGTAAGAATATACTATGTGTTTGGAAAAATTTAATAAATACAATTTATATATAGCAGCCAATAAAGCAATGTCCAAAAGCAGACAAATTTTTTACTTCCTTTGTTTTTAAGAATTTTTTGTTTGTTTAACAATTTATATGGTCATTTGAGCTATAACATTATAATTTTAAAATTAAATAAGGGGTAAAAAATGGCTCTGACACCATTCCTTACTAATGCAAACAGACTGATGACATGTGGTTTTATAATAAAAAAAGTTGAAGACTGCAGCTATAGACTTAATAAACTTTGTTACCCTGCAATATTAACTATTGTATAATATTCTTTATTTATTATATTACAAGTTGCCTCTTTGTTGCATTGTGATATTAACTGTGACATGTAGAGATTGTCTATCATCCTCTTTACTCAGGAGTTATGCCTTATTTGACTTGTTGACATCAATGTGAATGCAAGGCACGTTATTTGTTAAGGACACTTTGCCAATGAGCTGAAAATACCTTGACTTATTCTGTTACATGCTCTTAATGTACATCTTAATCAGAAAGAAAAAAAGGCAAGTGGGGTCGAATTAGATCATATATCTCTTCGTAGGCCATACTTAATGGCTTTACTCAAAATTTGTACACATAAAATTTGCACTATGTAATTATCCATGCAACAACTACTAACACAATAACAGCACCAAAGGTTAATAATCTTCTACTTCTTTCTTGGAGTTTTCTCCTGTAATACATTAAATCATTCGTCCAAGCGTTCCTGGAAAAAGAGAATATTCTGTTTGAATGTCAGCTGATTGTAAAAGACATCATTATGTTTAAAAACATTTCTTTATTGGGGACTGAACACATATTTTGTGTCATGCTTTCATATAACCAGTATTTATACTTTTTAGCAGTGCTTTTTTTGTGTAAAAACCTTTTGCACCCAGTGTAAGTGTAATGAACCGTTATATGGTTTTGCAAATTCAGTTAGTTTTAAGATTTGGCTCACTAAATGAATAATACGTAACAAAGGACTGAAAACCAGTATACAAAGAAAAATTAGACAGAAGCTAGTGATATTAACAATATTCAAATAAGTTACCGGTATACTATTTAGTTTATATAAAAATACAAAAACAAATAAAGATAAAAAAAACAATATTGACTTACAACATGACAAGTGTAAACGTATAAACCTCAAAAGATACAAATTTTAATATTAATATACACACACAAAGTATACAATCTTGTAAGGCTCGTAAATGTCTAGAAAAATTAGCAAAAATCTCTACTGGCTGCGAAAGCTGCCAGTTTATTTATAGGGAGAGAGTTGGAACCCTCATAAAAAGAATTCTATCACTTGATAGCATTCTTTAGAATAAATTAGAATGTAAATAACCTCTTCCCAATCAAGGGAGGTGAGGATGCGGTACAGCCCTACAAATATAATCATAGACGTAACTATCAATACAAAAAAAAAGAGAAATGTTGGATGCATTATCTCTACTTTGAAAGTAAAATTACGTTAACACATAGGCTATTACACCCAGTATTATTGTGCTTTTCTCTGCAGAATTTAACTTATTGAACAAATGAGTTTGGGCACAATTCTTTCTTACAAAAAGTACTGCTTATATAAGAAGGATGCATATTGGTTCTGTTGATTAGATTAAAGTCCTCATATAAATTTAAGCTTTTTTAAATATGTGGATCAGAAATACTTTTCTGACAGCACTGGTTAAAAGTCAATGGCAGTATTTAATGTCTCATATTTTTATACAGTATGATTTGATTTCAAGCAATGGCTCACCTTTTCTCTACTAACTTGATTAAATGCCCACGAGTGAGATCATTGAAGTAGGAACGCAGCAGTCTATGGTCTTCCATTTTGATCTCTTCAGATCCTCCATCCTCATTGTCATCCCTACCAATGACCAAAAGTAAATCTATATATTCAGGTGATTTTTCTTTCATGGTGCCAGTAAGAAGTAATTGTTTCATCTGAAATTCAACATAATATATAGTTTAAAGAAACATTCCATGGAAATACTTTCTAGTAAGTCATTGTAATGCTAGCATCTTGTCATGTACACCTTTCCAATGAATAAAGCATGGTAGATAGAGTATTTCTTTCTTGTTCATTACATTATATTGTGGGGAAAGCACAGTAAAACAAGCTCATCATTTAAGTCTTAATAAACAAATGGAATACTGTATGCCTAATAATTTCTAATGAATTTTGAGTTCTAAGCAACCTAGAAATAACAAACAATAATGGGCTACAACAATGTTGAGCTACAAATTATATTAATAATTCTTATTGTCTCTGTGATCCAAGCAGCTTTTGATGATTTAGAAAAAATTAAAACCATGAAAATGTTCCTTCATTTCTTATCTGCTCTTCAAAACCATACAAATATGTTAAGTTGTTTTTAAGAAAGCAAAATTCTATCTATTATATTAGTTACAGCATATTCTTTATGTTGTTGGGAAATTTAATTAAAAGTCTATCTCAACCTGCCTACTAAAATAACATTTAAAAATCAGTCAATATACAGTTGGTTAAATGGTTAAATAAATAATCTTCTCTATTGATTCTTGATTTAATCTCCTACTTTGAAATAATTTGCTGAGGTTTATCCTCAGATTATTATAACTCATGATTACAATTTTAAATTAAAATTCCTTCTACCTTTAACTATAAGAAAATAACTGAACTAAGTACAATGGGTTGAAGAAAAAAAACAACAGAATAACTATTAAAAACATACCCCCTATAAAAATACTGTTTAAAAAAAAAAAGGTGACGCTTGTTTCAATGATTTTCCCATTCCATTTATTCCATAGACTTTAAATTGAATAATGTAAACTAACAAAAAAATAGTTTAAGAAATTATCAATTTTTGAAAAGCAAATCTTATTTTTATATCATTATTTATGATTCTTCAATTCCTCTGAAATCTGTGCATGCTAAGCATTTAGTAATAATGAATGAATAATTGAAATAAAAAAAATGCAGTGAACAAAGGAAATATTATTTCTGTAAAATATTCTAGAGACTTATACTATCTACACAATTCTTAAATAATAATTCCTTGCTTAGATTTTTAGTTTTTTATCATTGACATCATGCATGCAACAAGGACGGGATTAAGGCCCTCAGCATTTAAAGGATTTGATGCCCCTGCTCCCACATTATATCTAACTCAATATTCAAAATACTATACCAAGAAATATAAAATGGTATGCTGAAATGAAACTTCATTGCTTTAAAGAAAACTTACACTTAAGAATGAATGTAATGTTTATATTTGTTAACTCCCACCTAATTAATCTTAACAAAAAGTTTAATTAATTTTGTAATTGCAAAGTATTTGATCAAATTCTTAATATTAATATTTTGAACCACTTATGAAACTGGGGGTATAACTTCCCTTGTCACCCAGAGTAAACATTATGTGGGGGGGGGGGGGGGGGGGAAGTGCAAAGAATGACAAAGTTGGCTTTGAACATAGCAAAAACAAAGCCTTGCAAGTATTTGAGACCTAGCGAGTGGAATAAGTAATAAAATTTCTTTACTCTAAGTGGGTCACTATCTGTTACTATGGAAAATTGTATTATAATAGCTTTATTGCGCTATTTAGGGAAAAAATGATTGCATGTCAAAATTTTACGGATTGGTCTTACAATTTTGGATGGTTGACAACCCTGCTCTATTCTATTAACAGTGCTTTTTAGATAAAATGCTGCTGGTACATTTACTTTGATTGAGTGGGGTGGGGGATATTACAGAGAGTGAGGGCGTTAAAGTCTACCAAGCAAAAATGAGAAGCAAAGAAAATTTTTTGACAAATTCTATATGCAAGGATACATTTTGGCAAATATGTAAAGTTAGTTTTGCATCATTCTACACTTTACAATTAATTGGGTAAAAGAAGAGATGCTGAATGAAATTAGGATCCTTTGGGTAAGCATTAATCTGCCATACCATGGCCTAAAAATACTTTTCACTTTTAGATGATGGTAAGGCAACATTATGTGGCACATCATTTGAAAAAAAAAATATATATATTTTGACTTTTTATGGGTTTTTAATTTTTTTTTAAATCAAAATTTTATTTCTTGCCTCCTTCATCCTGATGCTCTAAAAGGTTGCTTATATTGCTTAATAGTTAATCCAGGGCTGCATGCCATTCTCAAAAATATTTTCAAAAGAACTACAAACCCAAGAATAAGCATTAAAATTGATTTTGATAGCATTCAACATAATAAATTACCTTAAAAACAGTTATCTCAAGATGTTCTTCGTTAATTGGAATATCATGAATATTTTTACTTAGGTCTTGGAAATGAATTTTAATGACTTCCTTTGCCAACCCTGCTTCTGTAAAATAAAAAAAACAACATTGTACTGATACATAAAATAATAAAAGACAAAGCTATTTTGCTACCAGTAGCATATATAAACAGGTTTAGATAGATAGTTAAAGATTTGCAACTCCAGTGTGAAAGAAAGAGCATATAAAGCCTTTTTCCGTCTGGTTTTAGATTATACATCTTCAGTCTGGGACCCATTTATCCAGAAGAGCATTGACAGGTTGGAGGGGGTCCAGCGACGGGCAGCACGCTTTGTCCTGAACTGATGCAGGAATACCTCTAGTGTTGGCAGCATGCTTGAAACACTGGGCTGGTCCATTGTTGCAGTATTTAAACAAAAACTCGTCCCTCTTCCCCATAGACAGCAACGAGGCCATGACAGGCAATTCTGGCTCATACCAGCAAGAAGCCCTTATAGGAACTGCTCATTCCTGCCCAAGACAATCAGGGACTGGAACAAGCTTTCAAAAGGAACAGTTGAGGCGACAACACTAGACACATTTGCGTCTATTGACTCAAGCCTTCCAACCCCTTTGCATGATTCCCTCACAAAATAGCACTTGTAATTATTGAAATATCCTCATCAGCACCAGGCACAGAAACATTGCAAATCCCCTCTACATGCATAGGAGCCAAAATGATCAATAAATTGATCGTGGGCCCTTAATATATACAAGAAGAAGAAGAAGAAGATATTCAAAGTATAAAATATTACAACAATAAATAAATAAAAATTTGTAAATAATTAATAATAACTTAGAGATGTTCTGGCTTAATTAAGGCATATATCAAATCATGGGCGCCCGCAGAAAACTTTCCAGGGGGGGGGCAAAAAATCGATTAACTTTCCAGGGGGGGGCACAAATTTTTTAATAATGTTTTAATATAGTTTTAATTTACTGTAGCGTATTTGTATGGTGAACAAACGGACAGGACATCAGCTTAGTTACTTTCTCTTTATTTTCTCTTTACTTTAATAAAATTTTTGTCTAAAAATTTTTTATCCAATCAATCCAGGGGGGGGCAAGTGCCCCACCTTGCCACTACCTGCGGGCGCCCATGTATCAAATACATTATTATCAGCATTAGATGACAGATTACTTTACTTATCAAATTTTACCAAAACTTCTTGCAGTCATTTTGGTCCCACTTCAATTTGGGGTCTTTTTAGGAAAGCTGTAAATAATAATTATAAAATAGTTAAAAATAAAGGGCCTAAAGATTATGTACAATGTTGTAATATGTTTCAAAGAGACTATAATTTTAGATACGGTAATGTCTAAATTTTATCATCAATTTTAAATTTAAATATGACAAAAACATCTAAAGTAGGCTATTGACAATTATTAATTGAAGGCTATAAGGTATCATTAAAATTGAAGCCTATGTGGTGTCACCAGGTGAGGTCTGCGCTCAGATAAGATAGTGATGCTACTGCTTAAGTTCAAAACCTCGATTCAAAGGCTTTTAAAATTGTTCTCGAGGAGGAGGTCAAAAGCTGCTGCCTTTTGCAATGATCTGCCTTTGCCAACAAGGATATTTCATTCCAATAAACATTAAAAAACCCATAAAAATTATTTAACCCCAAAGTCAGTATCCTAATTGCTTTGATTTAATACAAAAATTCAAAATTTCGATGTCAGTGTATCAAAATGAAACATCATTTCTCCAAAATTTGAAGTGATTTTTTTTCCCAAAGTAATCCTTTTGTTCCATAATGAGCCTTTTATTAATTTTCATATATTTTAAATTATAATTACTACATAAATAGATTTTATAAACCCTCTTGAATTAAAGTTAAAGTCTTTGATTTTCTTCCTGTCGAGTATGGAGAAGAAGTAGTCTTAAAAATATATGGCCAAAAAAGTTCGCAACCCCTGGTATAAAGCAAGTAGAGACATAAAAGTTACTACTGACCACTGCCTAAATTCTAAATTTAAAAAGTAAACCAAAGAATTTTCTATGGTAAATAAATTATACAATTTCAGCATTAACACAAAAAACAAAAACAAAAACATATTCTATAGTGCAACAATAGGCAGCCTAGCTTGAGTATTACCTGCTGGTGTGGGAATTCATCATTTCTCATCAAACACCAATAACATATAATATTGGATATATTATTTATTAAAAAAAGCCAGTTAAATCACAAAAATAAAACTTCCTTCCCATGAAGAATTATTTAAAACAAAATGTATTTGCAGTTCTGAAAAAATTGGTGAAAAATCCCCTCTCTTCATCACAGATACCTGTATTTGATCTTAAAATCAGCTGAATCAGGACTTGATTTATTTGTTCCCCATAAATCTGTCAGATAATCACGCTTAAAGTTAAAGGCCATAGTGTCACTAAGTCTAAGACTAAGGACTAAGGAAGGGTGTGAGTTTTTTTATGGTATGTGATGGCTGATTTTTGTGCTTGAGATATTCCATGCCATATGAATGTCAGAAATGAGAATGAGATGTAGGGCCTATAATATTTAAATTGTTCTAGTTTAAAAATGTTTTCTTGGTAAGAAAATTCATCCATTAGCTGAAAATGAATATGTGATGAAATTGAATTGAATTTTAACCAACTCCCATTTCCATCTATATAGATCAAGAAAACTAAATGTAAAAGAATCTGAGCTTATCTGAACTTATCATAATAATAGTAATTTATTTTAATGACACAATTGACAAATTACTATGACTATACTATAACATAACTAAGTAGAAATATTTTTATTAAAATAAAATTGTAAATTTTAGGGCTTCAATTTCAATTAATCTATTTTGAATTATATTAATTACAACAAAAAAGGTAGGACATATCTACAAAGGTATTAAGAGAATCTATTAACTAATACTATTATAATATAGTCGTAAGCATACTTTCAATTTTAACTTTCATGGCAATTTGACACTATTTAAAATTTGTGTCGAGTACCTAAGCATAGGCTTACTATAAATTAAATGACTAGTGTCATAATTATAATCATAGAAAAATATCATCATAAAAAAATATTGGCATAATACTCTTTGATATAGACTACTATAGATCTAGTTCCACCTCCCCACCCCACGCCTTTTTTTCTCCGTGGCCGTGGTAGGCTGAATATTTTCCCAGTCTATATTATAATATTATATATTAATTATTTTAATTATGATTATCATGGCTCTGCTATAACTTACCATGACCAAGTTTGGGCATAAAATAATAAAATACAGGACGCTACGTACTTCATGTCAACATGTTACGGTTACATGTTAAAAATAATTATCATAATTAATTTAGGCTAATCTTATTCTAATTCTTCTTATTATTATTTATAATATAGTAATATAGATACTATTACTATATTCAATTAGTATTAGGACATGACGCACAGAAAATTAAGTTTAATTTAACAATGACAACGGACGTAACACGTTTCTTTAGTAACACTTACAGTAACGCTATACTTGTACTTCTTAGTGACTTGTGAAGTCAGGGATTAATTTAACCTAAACACTAAATTACAATTCAGATTTTTTACGGGAAAATATATGAAAAAGGGGGGGGGGGGGGGGAGCAATGAGGAATTCCCAAAATGATTGAGCATATGACGTCATATCTAACTAAAGGGTTGAAAAAGACAAATTTAACACACGTATTTTTAACTGCAACGTCTCTTTGAAACTCTCTCTCATAGTATTGTTGCAATTGTAGTATTGTCTGACCCCACGCCCACAAATCGACAGTGGGGCCCAACATTTCTTTAGATGCCAGCAGTGATCATTGGCAGTGTTTCTTTCGACAATTTAGATTTTCGGGTGCGCAGTTGGCTGTGCCAGTCAATGGCCAGACGCGTAGCTAATGGGAGGGAGGGGCATTTGCGCCCCCACCCTGAATTTATAATTTTCTTTAGCCCACTAGTTATCATTGGGCCTATCTAGAACATCAGAAAATCAAACAGCAAAAAAAAAAAAAAATAAATTAAAAAAAAAGAAATAAAGGAAAACTAGAGCTATTCGTCGAATAATTCGATCTTTAAACATTAATAATAGAAAACATAAATCATAATATGACAATTCTCTAGTTATCATTGGGCCTATCTAGAAAATCAAAAAATCAAACAGCAAAAAAAAAAAAAAAAATAAATTAAAAAAAAAGAAATAAAGGAAAACTAGAGCTATTCGTCGAATAATTCGATCTTTAAACATTAATAATAGAAAACATAAATCATAATATGACAATTCTAATTTAAATTGACGTGCTCTGTGACGCCTTCAATCATAAACAATTCACCAAGCCGGAAAAGTTTGGGTTTTGCCCCCACCCCCTTTAAAAAACAAACTAAAATGACGTCCCTGGCAGATAGGAACAAATCATGACAAATGTACCCAGGCGCTGGACTAGCGGGGGTGGATGTGTGCCAAAATGTGTTTTAATGGATGAAAATAGTGGGTTTCAGAGTTGAAAGGGTGGAATATCTTTCCCCTGGTGACAAACACTCTAGTTACGTCTCTTTCATGGGCGCAGAAAGTGTGCCCGGATGGGGGTTGGTCCGCCTAGGGTCACTTTTACTTTATATTGGGGAGGGGGGGATCGGCCCAATGTTCCCTCTAAGGTTTGCTGGTTCGTGTGAAAAATCATACAATGGTGTGCAAAGTTTTACAGCATCATTTTTTGTGTGTGCAAAATTTCACAACCCACTAACAAAAACACACACTTACATGGAAATTTGCTGCGCGGATACTCAAAACTGCTGCGCAGCTTAAACGAAACATTGGTTCGGACAACTGCATAGTTTGTATCGTGCAAAAAAATAATGGCAAAAATCTAGGCTCACTCAATCCAGGCGGCACCGGGCAGTGTATCTGTCGGCACTAAAATTGGCATCCAGGGCCAGATATACTTTACTTCTTTATTTTAACTCGGCCAGTAGAGCAGAATCGAGGACATCGATAGCTCTTGAACAGCAGCCAGTGGGTGTCTGGGGAGCCCTTTACCAGAATTTTTTAAAAATATTTTTATTATTTCTAAATCACGGGGTGCATTTTGGAGAAGATCTTAATATAGAACTTCTAATAGTGATCAATACAACAATTTCTTATCACCCTGTCATAGTATTTTGACGGGATAGGAGTTGACGTGATCTGTTAGATACATAGCCCCCTACGGACCAACCTTTCCATGTCCCATTTTAGAACTAAGCCGTGTGTGTGGTCGTAGCCACCGTAAAGCCTGCATCTTAAACAGTTCAAACTAAAAAGAAATTGACTTCCGCAATGATTAATGGTTCTTTTCTAATAAAAGATGGGTTCTCCTGAATCAGCCGTAATGTTGTTTACGCACTCACTGTTTAGTTCCGACAATGTCCTCGGGGTTGTGGGAGGGGTATAGAGTTCGGGTGGGCAGTGCCAGTGGTGTAAGAGTGGGAGTGGGTTGTCCGGGTGAGCAGTGCCAGTGGTGTAAGAATGGGAGTGGGTTATCGGGGTGGGCAGTGCCAGTGGTGTAAGAATGAATGGGAGTGGGTTATCCGGGTGGGCAGTGCCAGTGGTGTAAGAATGGGAGTGGGTTGTCCGGGTGGGCAGTGCCAGTGGTGTAAGAATGGGAGTGGGTTGTCCGGGTGGGCAGTGCCAGTGGTGTAAGAATGGGAGTGGGTTGTCCGCCATGTGTCACTTTTTTTCTTTATATGGATGTATGGGAAAAACTCTTCGGCTGGGGCGGCACTACACTAACTATTAAAACAGCTGTGCTGACTATACTGTCATTTTTATCAGGAAGTGGGGTTGAAATCGAGGGCGTCAATGAACTCTGAGGGAAATGGGGGGTGGGGGAGGTGTCTGGAGAGCCCGTCCCCAGAAATGCTTAATTATCTAAAAATCCAAAGACACATTTTATCATGTACCTAAATTCCGTGTTTCTATTAGACCTTTGAGTGGGGGAAAGGATTTTTGAAACATCCGTGGCTGGGGGGAGTGGAGGGCATCTATCAGCATCAACCCAGTGCCATTCACAAACCGAATTTACGCCAACTGCAAAAAAAAAAAAAAAAATTAAAAAATTAAAATTAAGTACAAAAATATCTTTTACTAAATATTTTACCAGAGTAAAAAATAATCCAAAGACACATTTTATCATGGACCTAAATTCCGTGTTTCTATTAGACCTGTGAGGGGGGGAAAGGATTTTTGAAACATCCGTGGGTGGGGGGAGTGGAGGGCATCTATCAGCATCAACCCAGTGCCATTCACAAACCGAATTTACGCCAACTGCAAAAAAAAAAAAAAAAATTAAAAAATTAAAATTACGTACAATAATATCTTTTGCTAAATATTTTACCAGAGTAAAAAATAAATTAAAAAATTGAAAGTAGAAAGCTTTATGAATTTTAATGGGTTTTAAAAAAACTGGTAATTTTGATAGATCTTACATGATGTTTTACAAAAGACATCATAATATATTGAATTTATGTGTAGCCTGGTTGGCCTCGCAGCGCCCAAAGCGTGGTGTGGAATTCGACCTCGGGGTTAGGGTATCATAACATTGCAGCTCGAGGGGAATGGGCCTCTTATCCATCGCGTAGAATACTTAAATATGGGAAACCACTATGTGTGCTTTAGTTATAAGTTCAATTATTTATTTCTCACGAACCCTAGTGAATTAAGTTGTAAATTATATCTAGATGGAAAGGCGATTTAGTCACTATTCCGTAGCATATTTACACGTTTCCATCGTTATAGTTATAGATTATAGGATATTTTACCATTGAGTCATTAAGAGAGTTTTCATATCCATTTATGAGGGGTCCAGGCACGTGTTATTAAAATATCTAAAAACCAACACTATGCAACTCACAGAAATATAAGATAGTATCTAAGATAGCGGAGTCATATAGGTCGTTAGGGATTTGGTCAGGGATTTTAAATAGTACTCGGGTGTAGTCCCCAAAGTTAGTCATTTTACTCCAGGAAATCAGCCAGAAGGCAAAACGTAGGGCGTCTTGGTTTCGGTGTGACGGAAGAGGGGCTATCTCGTATGTCCGCACGCGGCTTAATAAAGGGGCGCACACTAAGAAGGGGATGATTCGAGGTTTTTTAACAGCATCTCTAATGCGTGTCAGAGTTCAGTGCGCCCCCTTGGAACGCTCTGTAAGTTGAAGCACACACGCCATTTTATTTCTTTGTGTTTAGTATGAACTTGTTAAGTGTTAGTATTGGAAGATTTCATTTCAGACTTATAACCATGATATACTTTAGGAAAAAATCTACAGCATGTAGACTTATAATCGTGCTATGTTGGAGTTGGAGGTTGAATATACAACCATCCAAATTATGACTTATATAGCCATGCTATTTTAAAGGTTGAACATGCAACCGTCCAATAAATTCTTTAATAGAATTAAATAGATACCAGTGAACAGTTTTTGTGAGCCATAACAAGCAACCGTATATCGTTCTGGTTACACATACTGCAATGTGCTTATAAGCTATTGATACAACAGTATACAACCAGCGAATGTTTGTCAAATATTTGTAACAGGCTAACTCTCCTGCCGTGTGCTAAATTCTCACATAGGAAATGGTGCATGTGTTAAGATAATATTAGATACAATTAGTAATTCTGCATATTGCTGTTTGTCTTAAAAAGACACAGCGACCAAGCTAACGGTGGTCATACTTTGTACCATTGTATTATCTGTCCTGCTATGTGTGTTTCTTATTTAGACATCATACACGGATGGCATACCATAATAATTCCAAGATCTTTATGTCACCCTTCACATCTCACACTGGTTCAGTGTGTAACACTAACACAGTGTTCGTGCTACACATCAAACAATGGACGTGATTTATTTTATAGTTAAACATTCTTAGAACAATTCCATTGCCACGTGTATAAAACAATAACATGTACGTATGCTGCATTCTTAGTTGCGTATATTTTGTCGCCTCTTGTAAGTACCGAGCTATTTAACATGTTTATTGTTAGCTATTTTAGTCAGGATCTTGTTGACCTGTGCTGTCTGTTTCTTTTCAGATATTGTCCTTTTTCTTAAGACCTTTTTCTTCACAGTGAAATTTTCCTTTAGAGTTTAATCAAGCTATAGTCCTCAAAACCTGAATTCCTTCATTTTTTAATTGGTAACTGTTAGTCTTGGGTCACCTAACACCACCAGCCACCACCCACCTTGCTACATATGATTTCATCTGAGGAAATTGGTAGGCCTATATTTATATAGACTCTATTAATCTCAATATTCTGTTGATTGCGATGTGTATTTGGAATTTCAAATTGCTAAAACTTTCTTCAGATCAATTATAAAGTACCC